CAGAAAATGACTTTGATAATCTTTATTCCTGCCAAATACCTGAACCTACTCTTTTTCTCTTAGATGTATACATTATGGAATGGAAAATGAAGCACGGGTTGGATTCTTAGAGTCATATACTTGTTGTGACTGTGTTATGAATATTTGGGTGAATTTGAAGAACTTACCTACTTGAGTCCATTGTTTTTCATCTCTAAAATGACAAGCCAGGATAAGTTAATAATCATGGGGTCGATTTGAAAATCCTGAAAAAGCTGCTGACTCTGGCTCTCTAAGACATATAACATATTCATATATAAATCTTACTTGTAATTTCATGGATTTAATGAGTGAAATCCAGTGGGTCTAGGAATGACTCCAGTGAGCTCTATCCTCTTTGAAATCCATGGAATGAGAAGACCATAATATAGCATCCTAGAAGCAGGATGATGTAATATTTAAGAATATGGCCTACAGCTGGGCTTGGTGGCACATCCACCTGTAATCCCAGATTTCTGGGAGGCTAAGGCAGGAGGATGGCAAGTTGGAGTCCAGCCTGAGTAACTTAATGACTTCGCAAGACCCTGTCACAAAATTTAAAAACATAAAAAATGGGTTGGGGATATAGCTCAGTGCAGAGGCCCTGGTTTCAGTCTCTGGGACTGGGGTGCAGTTGGGAGAGGTATGGCCTACAAGAAGCTCTCCAAGACAAATGACTCCATTCTGACAGTGAATAACCAGGGATATGGCAGGGGAGAGTGATACAGAAGGGGGAAGCTATAGATGAAAAGAGATTTACATAGCATGTTAATCAATTGCTTTGTGGACCCTATTGGGATCCTGATTCAAACAAACTTTAAAATAATTATGATCTTTATGAGATGATTGGGAATTTGATGAACAAGGAACTGTTCAATTTTTAGACATGATGAAAGTATTGTCTTTCAAAGATACAGAAACAATTATTATGGAGAAATTTTTTTTCAAATTAATATGTAAAGGAGCAAATGAGTGGGGATATAGATGAAACTAGATTGTCCACAAGTTGATCATTATTAACATGACCACTTGGGAATTCATTATACAATTCTATATTTGTACATGTTTGAGGTCATCACAGTAAGAAAGCTAAAGTTCTTATCGAGCTTTCCCACAAAAAGAAAAGAGACAGAGGAGGTGGTGGAGGAGAAGATCCAGTTAACAAGTCCAGAAGATTAAGAAGGATCCACTACAGTCTTTTATACACATTCAAGAAATGTGGGAAATAGTTTGAGGACAATGGTTCTTAAAGCAGGTTTAATGGTCTTTATGGATAAACTCTGACATGAATGTTTGTAATATGTCCAGGTCTAGGTTGGATTCTAGAAAAACTATGTTGAGGAATCTCATCATTCGTGTCATTTCAACAGTAGCAAAGTAAGGACTTTTACTTGGCCAGTGTGCCTAGAAATGAAATGAAAACTTTATCTTCAAGCTTACTTCATTTATCAGGGTGAAAGATCTGCATCAACTTTTCTAAACTTTAAACTTTTTCTGAATCACACAATGGTAATAGGGAAATAAACTATGGTTACTTAGTTTTGGTGGTTACAGATATGGAATTTTGAGTTCAAAGGCCTGAGTTTCTGTGAGATTACATTACTTAACAACCAGTAGTCTTGGGAAAATTTACTTCATCTATTCCTCACTTTCCTCACTTGTAACACAGGGGCAATAGTACCTACACAAAGAGTTACGAGAGTCATATGAAAGAATCTAAGAAAACAGCCCAGCTTAGTCCGTAGCAAGTAATGAATACTAAATAATATAAATTGTTGTTGTTATTCCCTATTTACAGACTCTGTCGTGGATGTGTCATCCCATTTCTGCCCAGAGCATTTCCCAGAGCACAAATTAGCATCAACAGAGTGAGGAGATATTCAAAGCCTTTCTAGGAAGTGGAATCCGGCATCTCAGGAACTTTAAAAATACTCTGGGAAGAATCCTGCTATCCTGAGAGTGTGTCCATAGGAACACATTGTTGGGCCAGACTCACAGTTGAAATAATTTAATGATAACTTGGTTTTGTGTAGGATGCAGGAAATAGAATCTTAATATGCAATTAGTAATTAACCCACATAAATAAACAACTACATGGAATTTCTTTGTCATATGCAATCCCCAACACCACAAAAACTACCCAGCATGCCCCTTCCTGAAGTCACAGTAAGTCAAAGTCCTCATAAGGCCTTCAGCCATCCATCCTCACCTCCTGTTCTACTTATCTTCCTTGGTCACGCTGACTTCGTTGCTATTCCTGCCACGTCTTGGCCTAAGAGCTTTCCTCTGGTTGGGTGTGAAACATTAACTAACTTTCCCATGTCTCTTGGTGGTCCTCCCTGATCTTATTTAAAATTGTACACTTACTCCAACCCTCCAGCCTATCCCTCTTTCTTGTTTTCTATTTCTCCTTGGCACCCCATCATCTTCTAACATATAATTTATTTACTTGGTTCACTGTTTTTCCATTGTGGTGGTGTTATGGTTTGTGTCTAGATGTCCCCCCAAAGCCTCATGTGGTCATAGGTGGGGCTTTTTGGAGGTGGCTTGATCTAGAGTGTGTGATGGGGGGATCGAGGTTGTGATGCTGAGATCGATTCACGGTGCGATGTTAGGATTAAGGGTGTCCCACCCTGGGTACATGCTATTTGCCCTAAGGTTGGGTAGCTAGGATAGAATATAAAGGGACAGAAAAGGGTTGCAGTTGCTGCTTGTTGCTTCTCTATTTTGCTGCTTGTGGCCTTGCTGCCTTCTACCTACCATGGACTGTTTCTCCCCTGCAATGCCCCTCTACCATGCTATTTTGCTTTGGAGCCAGCCAACTAGGGACTGAAACCTCTACACACTAAGTCAAAATAAACTTTTCCTCCTTTAACTTTGGGTATCAGGTATTATGTCTCAGCAATGAGAAAAGTAAGACAGGAAGAGATTTTTACGTTTTATTCATTACTGTTTCCTAGGTGCCCAGAAGGAACATAGCCTAGTTACCTAGTGGTGCTCACCATTTGCCAAATGACTTTCAGTCCAAACTTTCATTAATTCAAAAGGCTAGGCCTTGCCTTCAGTGAAGATCTTTCCAGCACAGTATCTCTGGGGGTTTGATTCAGAAAAGGCATTTTATACAACTCTTCCAACATGAGAGATAATGTATTATTGGCTTTGTTTTATGAGCTGGTATCTCAGCCTCAAATTACCTACATAATGTAATTAGAAGGGAGTGTAATGTAACTCTCTTAGTATGCCTGTAAACTGAACTGAAGACCAATTTTGTACCTTGTAAAATGAAAGTATTAGGTTACTTGAATTTGTTAGTTCCTAATTTCTGGGTTTTCAGTAAGTTTTACCTGATACTGCTAATTTACCTTCTGTGATTGACAATATGTTGACAAAAGCCTTATTTTTCCCCTAAAAGGGATTTAACTTTAGTGATGGGGCCATGGATTATCTTTTCTTCTTACTTTTCTACATTTTTCTTTAACAAGCATGTGTTACTTTAAAATGAGAAATAGTTGGGGATGCAGTTCAGTGGTACAGTGCTTGTCTACCATATGTGAGGCTCTCCATTCAATCCCTAGTACCAAAATAAAAAATAAAATTAAAAAATGAGAAATAACCAACAACTTAAAAAACTTATTACCAATCTACTGAGTCTGTATAACTCTTTTATAAAATCCCACGTTCAAATCGCTCTCATTTAAGTTTGCGGGAGAGCAATTCTTTGAGGAATTAACAATCCCAGTGAAAGAGGAGAGGGGGTTTTGGGGATTAGGCAAGATCATCAAGACAAAATGAGTTTCTCATCCAGATTCAAGGTGTTTTCAAGAAACTCACTGGAGAAGAGGATTTGATTTTGTAATCTAGGCCAACAGTGGACAATGGACAATAGACCATGGAACACTAGACAATGGACCTTTGGTGTTTCTGGAAAGCATTTGTGGGGCGAGGAATGTTTTTATTTGGTATCCAAGGAAATCAATTGCATGGATTAAAGTCACTTAACTAAAAAATAGTACAACTTTGGCTACTGATAAGGCATTTAGGGTTAGAAGTTAAAGTAAGATTGTGTTAAAGTATACATAGTGCATAAAAGTGCTTCATACACTGTGAAGGATTACAAATATTTGGTGCTGATGTTTCTGATTAGCTTGGCTCTGAATTATCTAATGGAAAAATGAGTTTAAATGGTACAACTAGTTATGTGACTTCAAACCAGTCACTCTTCCTTTGTTTTCTAGATCAATAAAGACCTTCTGGGCTAACTTGCCTCATACAGTTATTTAGAAGCCTAAGTGGATGTGGAAATGTTTGGGAAAGCATGATGCATGCTAAAATCTGAAGTGTTATTCTGTAGCCTCTGATTTGGCCAAGACTTGCTAGAATCTTAAAATACAGTGACACTACTTATGATGTAAAAAAACCCCTCACATAGGCTGGGGATTTAGCTCAATGGCACCATGCCTGCCTCCAAAGTGCAAGGTCCTGAGTTCAATCCCCAGTACGGGGAGGGGGGACCCTTACCTTAGATATGCTCCCATAGTTAATATGTAAGTGTAGCGATTTTTCTTTTCATATTATTTCCATAAACTTCCATAAAGAATAAAGTTTTTTTTTCCCTTGTTTGTTTTAAAGAAGACAGGTAGAGTGCAGCATGCTGTTTGCAAATTGCCAAATCAGGAACCTATATTCTGGTTGAAGCCTTACATACTCTTCCCTGAAGGATGAAACTTTATGTACCTGGGAGCTCTATATTGCTAGAGGAGATTTAGGGCTTTACACATCTCTGTATCTGGATGTGTAAAGAATCCTCAGACTCAAAACAACCAGAGGACTGTAAGAGGGGGTAGCAAGGCAGCAAAAGTAACAGGAGGTTGAGGTGACTTATGGTGACTGGCTGGTGCCACCAACAGATGCTTAATAAATTCTTCCTGACTCAATAAATGCAGGGTGGACGGTTTGGACAGGAGAAACACTTGTAGTTCTACTGGAGGCTTTACACACAGAAATGCTATTTTATTACCATTAGTGTGATAGTACTACAGACTAAAGCAGCAGTAAACCAGAGAATCACCTTTTGCACAGCTATTTAAATCTAACAGTGAAGACTACAAAAGTCATTTGGTTGATAGATGCCACATTCCACAACATGTTTTATAGTACTTGTTATAGTAGACTTATAGTATAATTCACAATTTTTAATTTAAAATTGTAGCCCATCAATTCAAAATTTTGATATCTTTAATGCTATTGCTTGTGAAACTAGACACATTTATTCAATTAGATTGAAATCCTCAGAGAAACCAACTCCATGGCTTTTTAAGGGGCAGTTTATTCTACTCATAGGTAGGGATTAGGATGTGTGTGTGTATTTTGCGGGGGGGGGCTGGGTATAGAGACTTTAAAAAAAAATTTTTTTTTTTAGAAACTTTTTAAAAAGCTTTAATGTTGGGCTGGGGATTTAGCTCAGTGGTTCCACTGTCTGCCCGGCAAGACCAAGGATCCGAGTTTGATTCCTGGTACCAAAAAAAAAAAAAAGCTTTAATGCTTTTTCATCTAAAATGTATCCTGACCTCCTTCTCCTGGCAATCTTTGTCTAAATAAAATCTTTCTTTAGGATGAGCTTTATCAAGGTGATCCTTGTCAAGGATCTGGTCAAAAAAGGTAGCTGTTTCTTTAAACTATCAACACTACAACAATCTCAATAAAAAATCCACTTAATAGTTATTTGTGTAAGTAGATTTATAGGGAAAGAAAATATTTCCACCTTTTCTGTGCCAAGCAATCAAGCAAAACACAAGAGTGGTACAATTTTAATAGGGAGAAGCTTGGGGGGGGGACAATGGCTGTGCCCTGAGAAATACATGATCGCCATCTGGAGGATTCATTTGAAACAACAAGCAGTAACCAAAGAACCTAATGTTTTCAATAATTAAGGTACGATTTATCAAGAAGTAGGCAACAAAGCCAGGGATAAACTACCTTCTTTAATGTCCCCATACTCCTATTTCAAGCTTCCAGTGTGTGACTCTTTCAACATTGTTGAGATACTTCCAGTCAAAATTGGAAATGAAACTCTACCATTTAAAAAAACCATTTAATTTAAATCAGCTCATCAGCAAATACAGTTCAGGAAGAACTAGACAGGAAGGAATTAAATAGACACCTGTGTTCCTAGTTTACTGTCCTGCTATCTCCACTCCCTATCCTAAGTAATGCCTCATACAAATCATCAGAATTTTATTCACCCAAAGATATAAATGACTTACATTTTAATCAGAAGCATTCACATTTAATAGGTTGAAAGCCTTAATTAAGAGAGGGAGACAGGGAAAGATAATCAGAATTTCTAGTAGATGTCAATTGTTGGAGAGGCTATGGTAGAGTAAGATGACCATCTCCTTTACAAAATTCTTAATTGTTCCTTTTAAACTAATTAGGGTGTCCCTTACTGATACACTTATTTTAATTAAAATGTTTTAAAAGGAGTATTACCCCTCCCCCTAAAAAAGTCTGAGTAATTTAACAACTGCACTTGTTTCTACATTTCTAATGAGATACTAGTATTTTGGGAACATATGGTTTCCTACCTCAATGCTTCTTAATTACCTATTATTAAACAACTTTCTTTTTTCTTTCTTCCTTTCTTTTAAATTCCAGTCATTTGAGGCAATACTTGTGTAAGTATATAAAAATTGTATGGCAGTATCTCGAAGTTTAGTGCTTCTTTCTGTACTTACGGTGCCCTAGACCAGCATTAGTAGTGTGTAGACTGGCAAGGATTTGTGGATGCACTTGAGGGTCACTATCTAGGTCCTGTTGTCTCTTCTAAAAAACATCTGGATGAATGCCGGATATGGTGGCACATGCCTATAATCCTAGCACTGGGGAAGCTGGGGCAGGAAGATCACAAGTTCAGGGCCACCCTGGACTACAAGTGACAAGCTACATTGTCTTAAAACAAACAAAAATCTGGACGATATGATCTAATGATTTCTGCCCACCAATACCACCATAGTTATTTATATTCAAAAGCTTGTTTCACACCTCCCTCCCTTTGTTTTTCTCTCACTTCTCCCATCAGTTTTTTAAAGAAGTTTTTTAATTCATAGTAACAAAAACTATAAATTTTGTCAGATCCCCATTTTAAATTGACCCTCTATGTGAAATGTTTTCACATTTCCCCTATAACTTCGTTTAGTACATGCTCACTTGAGCAGCACATATACTTCGTTCAGTTCAACCCAGTTCAGTTTTGTTAACTTTATTTGCTGTAAATTTGGCCTAGACAACCAGAAACTTGTGTAAGACACTTAGGTAGCATAAAAAGTTCAGCCATTTGAGGACTAACAAGAAATTCATATAGCAAAACAATGTAACTGACAGGATACATGCTTTCTTGATTTAAAGATTATAGGACATCTTCAGGTGACGTTTTTTGCTAAAATACAGATCAAAAGTCTTGATTGATAAATAATTATAACTTTCTGAAGTTTCTTTCAGTCATTGGTTAGACAACAATTTTTTCTATCTCAATAACTCTAAACAAAAAGTTCCATATATGCATATATTAAAGTGTTCATACATTTCCATTTATAAGGCACAAAACTCACCAATCTCTCAAAGAAAAAAAAAGCACAAAAATTTGAAGACAACAAAGTAATTTCATAATAGAGGAGGCTCATCAAACTGGAAGTTAAAACAAGCCACTTCCATTTCTTAGTAAACAGGGATGTTATACTGCTGGGAAACCTAGCCTGTGAAGAGAGGGCTCCTCAGCCCTTTCTTTGATGCAGCTGTTTTCGCTGGATTAGTGCAGAAGTCAGTTCTTAGAGGGGGCTGTGTGGCCAGAACACATTAACTGCAAGTACCACCTATCCCACAGAAGCTGCTGGGCAGCAATGTTACAAACAGAACACTCTGGCTGCAGGACGCCTAATTCACTCATTCCTACTCAAAGGAGGCTTCAGGGACCAACCATAGTGAGCATACATATTTGCTTGTCCCAGGACTTAACTATTTTAAGGTTTCTGCTCTAAACTGAGGCAGAACTGCTTGACTGAGAACCCTGTATTGGGCTAGGTAGGTTGGTCCTTCATGGGGCAGCATCTACATAGAAGACTTGACCTTAAGTTCCTCTTGAAGTAATCAGATCCCCCAGAGAACACTTAGAACAAGTTTACCCTATTAAAGGTGTTTTAAACATGCTAGTCAAATCTGCAGATCCCTGGTGCAACCCCCATATCTACTGGCCTGTAAGGCAGCTCTATTTAATAGCTCTCAAGGCGCTGGGGATGTAGCTCAGTGGTGCCTCACCTGCCTCGAAAGTGCAAGGTCCTGAGTTCAATCCCTGGTACTGGGGGCGGGGTGGGAGGAATGAGTGGAGAACAGAAAAACAATGTTAAATTTGGGCTGGGGCTGTAGCTCAGTGGCACTGCGCCTGCCTCACAAGCGCAAGGTCCTGAGTTTGATCCCTGGTACCGGAGAAAAATAGCTCTCAAGTAATCCTGCAGTCTGCAGTATAAAACAGAAAGGTCCATGACACAAATGGAGCAAGGATATCTATGCTCTGTGGGTGGGCCTCCTGGTGGCTCTTGGCACTGTTCTTTCTAGTACCGTTTACATTGGCATTATATGGAATAAGCTTTCTGAATGCTTACATGGCTCCAAGCATTTCCTAGAGTAAAATTGCTTCATAGTCCTTTTATATTATCATGCAAAATAAGGATGGGAGTAAACAACCAGGCAGACAGTTGTCCTGAGAAAAGGGTGTTAACAATGGATGACAGTAGGGACCAGAAGTCAGATGAATCATGTAATTCATTATGTGTAAGGGTTTCACTGAATCATCTTGAATATTGTGACTTTTCCAGCCAAGGTAATCTGAAATCCAAATAAGACAGGGTCCTCAGCTTCATATGTTCAACTGCCAAAGATCAACACAGTACAGCTATTCCAGTAGGATGAGGACCAGCCCCCTACTTACTTCCCAGCCCAATTCTATTATCCATTTAGTTCTAGGACTTGCCTCTGGAATCCATCGTGAGAATTCTGATAAATTTTCAGGCATGAAGATGGTTCTTTCTAGTTCTGTGTCTCATGAATCTTATCCAAGGTACCTTCCCTTGTAAGGCCAAGACCCAGAAGAAAAAGGAATATTTCTTTTATTAACAACAAAATTCTCGAATCCTTTGGCTTTGAAATGCTGCAGCCATAGTGTATCCTTGGAAATACATATTGATTTAAAAATCAACACTTAAAAATGAAAAGTCAACTTCTATTGTTGCATCAAGTATTCCCCAAATCACAAAGGATCACCTCTATACCTTGCCCCCACCTGCAAACCTCAGGACTCTTTCTTGGTCAGTCTGGCCTTGATTTTGTGCCTCAGAATGGCTGCAGTGGCAGCACTGCAGGCAGCCAAGAAGAAGAAGGAGAGGCAGGCTGTGTAGACAGATGTGGGGCTATGACGCTGTAAGAAGATCTCGTGTCTACCCTGGTAGTCCAGGAGAATGGCCTCCAGCTGTGAGAGTGTGCAGATAGACAGAAAGGCATGGAAGATTTGATGCCCATGCCCCACTATGTCACAGGACCCGGGGAAGTACTTCTCAGGCACTGGGCAGGAGAAGAAGTAAGCGCTGACCAGGAAGAAGAGGATCTGGAGGGTGTGGTACCAGGCTGCCTGTTCCTGGCAGCCAGCCAGGTGGCAGAGAGCCACTCGGTGTGCCACAGGGCTGATGTCTAGGATGAAGGCCAGCCCTGCTGGTACCACTTGACAGATCTTCCTCATAACTGGGTAAGGCCTTCGGTAACGGTACTTGGCGTAGCAACAGCCAGCACAAGATAACCAGCCACAGAAGGCAGCTGCTGGCAAGAAGAAAAGCCAGAACCGCTCGTACCAGGCCTGGTCAGAGCTGTAGAAGAAGTGCGCCAAGGCGCTGCCATACTGGTAAACGCTGACACCAACATAGTCCACGAAGTAGAAGGTGTAGTGGGACAGCTCCGACTTGGACTGCAGCAGGTGAGCCAGAAGGCTGCACGTGAGGTAAGTGATTGAGGACAGGATAAAGAGGAGCAGGGGCAGGGAGTGCGGGGAGGTCCAGGGCAAGGCCACAGCCTCAGCAAAGGCCCAGAATCGCAACAGGACGGCCAGGGCCGCCAGCAAGTGTGTCCAGACATTGACCACCTCGTTGTGTTTCTGAAAGAGGCTGAGGAAATAGTAGCGCCACTCGTGGCCTGTGGGGCGGTAGCCGGCGCGGATGTAGGGTTCTCGGAAGAGCTGGGGCACGTCGGTCTCCGGGACAGTGCGAGGCATCTGGGGAAGGCCTCCCTCCAGGATCTTGGGCAGGCGGCGCAGCTGCGGCCCGCTCACAGACAGTGTGCTCAGGCGCTCCAAGATGGCGGTCGTCATGGCGGCGCCTGGTGCCACCTGAGGAAGAGAGGCAGAGGCAGGTTGGCGAAACTGAGGTGAGAAGGCCAAGGGACTGTCTTATCTTAATGGAACGTGGATTTCTAGTGCGGGAAGGGAAAGCAAAGAGCTGCGGGTAGCGTCTCCTTCACCTATGTAATGATGGTATTTGGAACAACATCCCTCATGACTCCCAGTGTTCTGATTCTGTGTCACTACCCTGGACAATGTGAAGAGGCACACGCACATCTTGTAAAATGAGAGTGTTAGCTACTCTAGCATGATTTTGTGCTAAACAAGATTTAATGATATCTGAAAGGTGATAAAGGCTACTTTTGAAGGATATAGGGTTTTCTAGATGTTATTAAAATGTAATCAACAAGCCAGGTTTGGTAGCAAATGTCTGTTATCCCAACAGGGAAGCTGAGGCAGGAAGATAGCAAGTGGGAGCCCAGCTGGGGCAATTTAGTGACTTAACAAGACCCTGGGTCAAAAACAAAAAGATTAAAAAAAAGTGCCGGGGATGTAGCTCAGTGTGAAAGCCCTGGGTTCAATCCACAGTATTGCAATAAAAAAAGTAATCATTGGGCAGGATTGAAATATTATAAATATACTGAAATACAATAATTGTGAATATTGATAATACTAATGGTAGCCTCTATTTCTTTAGCACCCACCTAATCTTAAGCTATCCATTAAATGCAGTCACACTGGTCTTTGAGTCTCCTGAGTATCTCTGTCCTCTTTGTTGTATGCACAGAGAGACCTGATAGTCCAGGGACACAACCACTGTCACCTTCAACTATCAAGGACTCGACAACAAATGCTGGCCAGGTTGTGGGGGAAAAGGAGCTCTTCTTCATTGTTTGTGGGAATGTAAACTAGGATAACCACTATGGAAATCAATATGGAGAGTCTTCAAAAAACTAAAACTAGAAATTCCGTTTGATCCAGCTATGCCTATTGTGGGTACATTCCTAAAAGAGTTAAAGTCATGTCACAGTGATGCATGCATACCCATGTTTACAGCAGCAAAACTCACAGTAGCTAAATTATGGAGTGGTCTATATGCTCATCAAAAGATGAATAGATAAACTGTGGAATATATATACAATAAAGTACTACTCAGCCATAAAGAGGGATAACTGAATCATTTGTTGGAAAAATGGATGCACCTTGAGACCATACTGCTGAGTGAAATAAACCAGTGAAGGTTAAATATCACATGGTTTCTCTAATATGAGAGGCCCAAAATATAAATATTTTTAAAAATTAAAATGAAAGAGAGATAGTAGAAAACAGAAAGGTAGGCTCTGTGGAGCTGGGAAGGAGATCTAGGAAACGAGGATAGGGGAAGGAGGAGTGGGAGGAGAGGGGAAAGTAAAAATGATCAAGATGCAATATGTATACTTATTAATTCCCCAAGATGAAAGTTATTATTATATATCACAAACATATATTGATTTTTTAAAAAATACGATTCCTTATCTCAGCAATGAAAATGTTGCAAAGATGTAAGTCCTCTATCTGTGTGAAATGGACTTAAATTTCCCTTTGGAAATGAAGGAATGTGAAAAGTTTAAACTTGTGGTCAGAAAGAGGGGGTTATTTTTCCTTTCCTTCACAACTACCTCTTCCCTCACAACCACAACAATGGTAATGAGTCACAATTCTTTTATTTACATTAAATTCAGAAGCCACAGTCTAGTGGGGTCTTGTTCTCCCTTCCAAAACAGGCCTTCTTTCACCAACCCAGAGTGGTCATTGCTTCCAGAAATAGATTTCAAAGGGCCAACTGCAAAGTTTGAGCCTATTTTGGAGGAAACATATTGATTATCATACAGGCACACCCTTCCAGCCTTTGTGGATGCCACTAAAGACCCCTCTCTCACTCCTAGCCTTTGTCTGGACACACTGCCACCCAAGCTAATATAATTTTTTAGCTCAGAATGATATCCCTTGCATAGGGTTCACAACAACTCTGGGACACTTGAAATTTAAATCTTCATTGAGAATCTTCATGAACAGTATAAGTTCAAGTCAATCATTTTGATCAACCTAAGATTTTTAAGAGTGAGGATTATTTGCTCACACTGTTCCAGGCTACAAAGGCCACAGAGGAAAAATAAACTAAGACCCCTGATACCAAGAAGTTTGTAAGAAGACAGCCAAAACCATCAGATGGCATGCAGTTGCATGAAATACAAACAGGTCTGTCTAGAGTACAGCATGCTGGAGAAGCCATGGGAAAAATAGATTTGTATTAGGTCAGAAAGGCTGAATAGAGCTTAGACAAAGAGGATGTTACATCTCAAGAAAGAAGCAAAATACTGAGACAGAGACCACCATAGGAACAGATGACAGGTTCCTAGGCCATTAACCTGTTACTCATTAAAAGCATGATTTGTTTTCTTTTGAGTCAGTGAAGGACTTGAAAACTGCTTTTGCTATTAAAACAACAAATAAAGCAAGACAAAACAATAACAAAAGTGACTTTTCACTTGGGCTTGCTGATACCCAAATAGGTAACTAAAAGCAGAATTTGTATCTTCCTCCTTTACTGCTTTAAAATTTTGAGTCAGATCCTTGCACAAGTCTGCATATAGCCATATTAATCATTTAGGGAGTATTCATGTAAAAATTGGTAATACAGGGTTGATTATCCCTAAATTTATATAACTTATTGCCTTTCAAAAGTGAAGACATGAAGTTCAGAGATTTACAGAGACACTCAACTATCAGTGAGCACGCAGAAGTCTCTAGTCATTGCCCTAAGCCTTGGATTCCAGCAGAACCTCCTGAAAACTGAGACTGCCTGAAACAATCATCTAATAGAGACCAAATTGCCCTCTCAAGTAATGAGTTCTCCAGACCTTCCAAGACCCCAACTGAGGTAATAACCATTCCCTAGCTCACCTCAGCCCCTCTATTAAAACTGACCTTATTCTTCATCAGAGCTCTGCCCCTTTGGCTCCTCAAGATGAAGTCCTTCCCATACTCCCTTACTTTCTTTTTTTTCTTCGTTACTTTCTAAGTCTACCTAATAAATCAGCCTTTACCTCTCACTGACACATCCTGAATTGCTTTTCTGCAGTATTAAGTCAAGGTCCTGCCCAGGCCAAGTTGAGGTGCCCAGTTCCTCCTCAGGGGGACTTCCTTATGTAACCAGCACCACAAAATGGAACTTTAGAAGTTACATTTTTTTCTTTTAGAGATAAGTGACTTCTCTAGACTTTCTCAGGCCTAAGACATAAATGGCTACCTCCACCTTTCCTCAGCCCAGATGAATAGATAGAGTCTGCACATGCTGGCATGAAGAGGTCAAGTCCAATTTCATTTCCCTAGGCAAGGGAGAGAGAGATCTAGGTTCAGGAAGGGATGGAACAAGCCTGAACGTAACTATTGTCTCATTGTAGTCTCTCTCTGCACTGTCCTTTGCTACAAAAGACCCTAACACACCTGTGAGATGGTGATTTGAAGCAAATGTGCCGTTCCATCTCCTTGGAGATAGCTTAGAATAAATCCTTTCTCCTTTTCACCAAAATAAATGGCCCCCTTTTGTGATAGGTAGTATAGCCAGTTAGGTTATAAGTAGAAAACAAGTAAAGGACAGATCCTAAGATGGAATTAGTCTGGTCAGCCTTAAAAGAAAATAGCAGGTATATAGGTTAAGGGTTAACTCAACCCATATAGATCACTAAGCTAAGGAATGTAAGAACAAGGGAAAGGGACCATTGTAGGCTGATTCCCCTTCTCTTTTACTTTCTTCTGTTACACAGCAAGGCTCCTGAGTGGCCCAAGGGTGTATGATGAGTGCATGGTCACTACATGCTCTGTTTCTCTGTAGGTCCTGTTAGAGCATGGACAATCCATACCTAAATTACATAGGCTAAGCCCACCTTGACCTGTTATGACCAGAGACCTGGCCATCTAAATATAAAAGACCCTAGAGAGCCCACTCTGGCAGTCCTTTTTCAGGTCCCCTCCCAACTATTGGGATCTTTCTTTCTTCTTATACTTCCAATAAACACTCCTCTTAACTGCCTTTGTCCATGATTTGATTCTTTGACTTTGTGAGACACCAGCCCAGTTTGGATAGCAACACTTTGATTTCATCAGCAGCAAGCAAATGAACCTAAGCATATGAGCCTAAATGGCTAGAAACACTTGGATCCTGTCCACTGACAATATGAGCGTGGGAATTGAGTGGCTTTTTGGCGAGTCCATCAGCAGAAGGGCTGTTGAGAAATAAGGAAGAGAGTTAGGTAAGGCAGTGGCATTAGTGGAAGCTTAGGTTTGATGTTACAGAAGGAAAAATGGGAATCATTTCTCTTCCCTGAAAGTTTTGGCATTTTAAATGCTTATTTCCCTTGAGCTCTGCAGGATTCCCACAGCTACTCAAAGCCTTCTTCTTTCTGGCTCTGCCTCCACTTTCTTCTCCCACCATCCCTGTCAATTGTGGTATTCCCAAGCTCACCATTGTTTGTTTAAAGTGGAAACTGTAAGCTCTTACCATGCAAACATGACCTTTCTCTGTTGACTTCCTTATTCCAGCCTCCTTAGTCAGTCTATACTCCCCCCAACCCAGTTTTCATGGCCTGAGGCCTGAATCATAATGCTGAGACTTGTTCCAGAGTGCCTCCCACTCTCTCTTCCCAGCAACTCCAGCTCATATTCAACACTCACTCTGCTTAGGAACCAACTCTTCCAGGAAGCCTTTCTTTTTTTATTTGCCTTTGGTTTTTTGAGACAAGGTATTACTGTGTAGTTCAGGCTGGCCCTGAACTATGTTACCCACACTGGCTGATCCGCCGACCTCAGTCACCTGAGTGCTGGGATTACAGGATGTGCCCCCACTACCAGCTCTGGAAGCCTTTCTTAGCCCTTAGAGTGGGTTAGGGCTCTTTCCAGCTCCTATAGTTCCTAGCTTTGCTTCTCTCTATTTGTTCTTTCCTAGAGCCATGATGATTGATTTATTCCATTACTCCTCCATTAGCTACCAGCTCCTTTTAGGACAGATTGTTTAGTGTAGAAGTTCCTATGTTTTAAATAATGTCTGGCATATTGATTATCTACTGAATAAAGACTGACAGGAAAAAGAAATGAAATCTGGCTGTTAATATTTGCTCTACTCTGTTAAACTGTGTGACCATGCTCAAACATTTAACTACAGAGTGTCATTTTTCTCTTTTAAAAGGTGGGTTGGAGGAGGTGATTTCCTATTGAAGATGGACAGGAGAAATAAGATAGGTAAAAAGGAGAAGAGGAAAATTGTAATTTTAAAATTGTACTTTTTTTTGGTACCGGGGATTGAACTCGGGTCCTTGCGCTTGTGCAGCAGGCGGTGAAACCACTGAGCTAAATCCCCAGCCCTAAAATTGTACTTTTAATGAAAAGTGCAGTTAAAGGACATAAACCTTGTCAAAAATTCCTGTGGTCCTTAAAGACTGTTATGGCTTGTGTTTAGATATCTCTTCCAAAGACTCATACTTTTTCGGAGGTGTCTGAATCTAGAGTGTGTGTGATTGATTCATGGTGGGGTTAGGCCCAAGGGCCCTAGGATTAAGAGTGTGAGTGCTACCTGCCCTAAGTAGTCTGATTAATATTAAAAAAGTGCAGAAAGATGCTTAGACTGAATAAAATAAAAGGGGCAGAAAGATGCTTGTAAGGCCCATTGTTGCTTTTGCTACAGTGTGGGCCCCATGAACTGTTTCTCCTCTGTGACGCTTCTCTGCCTTGTGACACTGCCTTGGAGCCAGCCAATTATAGACTGAAACCTCTACAAACTGTGAGCTAAATAAACCCTTTCCCCTTTAACTTTGGGTGTCTGGTATTTTTGTCTCAGCAATGAGAGAAAAGTAACTAAGACAGGACACAATAAATTTCAGACATTTCCTTTTATCTGTAAATGGCTCTTTTTCACCGTGAATAGACCATTTCTTTTTCACCTGTAAAATAGCCTTTTCCCTTATGGATGAGCTACAGCTCTAACACCTGTGAATAGGCCATTACTCCACTCCCCTGCAGAAAGAGCTGTGGCCTTTCATCTGTTTTTTATTTTGTACCAGGGATCAAACTCAGGACCTTGCACTTGCGAGGTAGGCATGGTGCCACTGTGTTAAATCCCTGGGCCTGGCCTTTCATCTGTTGAACCCCCTCTTTCTATAGATTCATAAGTTCTAGAGATTTTCACCCCCAAATCCCCCATAAATATACTCAATTCAAGGCTGTAAGCACCTCTCTTTCCCTTTTGAGAGCCGGCACTCTATTCTTTGAGTGTGTGCTTTTAAAATTCTGCATAATAAATCCCTTTATGCCTCTTACTGATATATCCTAAATATTCTTTTTCTGTGATGGAAGTCAGGGAACCTCAATCTGCCCTTTAGTGGAGTGAATCTAGGTTCCTCACCTCCACTCTGGGGGCCTCCTTGGAACACTGTCCAGTGACACTATCTATTCACTTCTCTGGGAAAACAAAAAGAATAAATAATAATAAAATGGACAGTAGTGTACTAGTACTTTGGAAAGGCAAAACATGAACACTGGAGTTCTAGTAATTTATGGAATAAAGAACTCACTGGAGGATATGACTTAGAGTCATGTATACCCTTTTCTCACACACATGCATATGCACAGTTGGCCGTCTCTATCCATGGGTCCTCCATCCACAGACTGAATTAACTGAATTTAAAAAAAATTTGAGAACTCTGTATTAGGTATTATAAACAATCTAGAAATGATTTAAAGAATATAGGAGATGTGCATAGGTTATATGCAAATACTATATCATTTATAAAGGAATGTGAGCAT